GAAGAGCGGGTGATGGGCCAGGTAGGTGGGGCCACACTGGCTGCAGCGTCGCTGAGGTCTGGGGACGGTGGCATGGGCACGGGCACGCCTTCCTTGCACATGCTGCCCTGCCGACGGAGGCTGTCACCTGGACGCACCAGGGCTGCAGTCACCAGGCGAGGCACAGCATGGGGCAAAGGAGGCCAACGTGGATGGCCACACAGCGGGGAGGCGGCCACAGCCCATCTACCCTGGCAAGTCAGTGAGCCTGAGCCGCCCAGGTGATCGGAGGCTGAGGCTGCTGCTGGGGAAAACCAACATGTACCACGTTAGGGCTGCGGAGCCGGGCGGGAGCGGGGGGCCCACTGATCCCCCCACCATGGAGACAGAGCCTGCAGGCAGCCCAGGCTCAGCCTGGCCCAGCCAAAGGCCACTTTGTTCAGCTCCCTCCTCCCCCCCAGAGGAGACAGTGATTTCTTTTCCCTTCCAGGAGTGGGGCCCAAGACAAGACGTAAATGGGGCTGCTGGCCCACATCCCCAGCTCGCAGAGCCTGGGCCGGGCTCCCACAAGTCCACCTCAGCCCTGGCCGCGCACCGGCCAGCACGGCCTGCAGGGACCTAGAGGGGAAGAGAAGGCCCCCTGCAGCCTGGCCAGAGGCCGAGGTCAGACAACGCACACGCACACGCCACAGCCGCCCTGACGGCCACATGCATCGCCAACGACTCACACACCCCAGCAGACCCTTCCCACCACAGCCCCAAGGCAGGGCAGCCCCAAGTCCTCTCCATCCCGCGGGAGGCAGGGCACCCGGGCACGCCGGCCAGGTCCAGGGGACAAGGAGGGGCCTCCAGGGCTGGCTGCTCAGAGACCGTCCACTGCACCACCATCCTCAGAGGAGTTCACACGTGGCACTTCTCAGAAAACCCTGAAATGACTTCTTCCAAAGTAATTTGTAAAAGGTATTTCATTCGGAACCTCTCAGAGCTCCCACTGTGAGAAATAAAATGGAAATGGAGAAAGCCAAATTCTTTTTTCAAATTTGAAAAAAGAAAAAAAACAAACAGTTTAAGACAAACCCACCAAGATTGTGAAACTTTGGGAAAAGGGGAACTTGAAAAATATGATTGGAGTCTAGAAATGTACCGATTCCAGAAATTGTGACACCACAGGGAAAACGGCTTTCAAAAAACCACCCAAACTCTCTCTGCGCTGGTTTGTCAGCCTAAAGAAGGTCCACGCTCAGCCTGTTCACTCGCCAAGTGGGAAGGGCCTGCAACAACTCTGCCCTCCAGTCCAGGCCTGGCGGAGAAGCCAGCACAATTCAGGAAGAGCACTGACCCTGCACCCCCAAAACCACAGAGGCCCTTGACCTTGGAAAGGGGCTCCCACCCCCCTACTGCTGCCAGGGTCCTCACCATGCAGCCCAAGGCCTCAGCCAAGGGGCACAGAGCAGGGTGTGGTCCCTCTGGGACCCCTCGGTGCCGAGGCAGGCCCTACCGCCCACTGCCATCCACGGCCCACTGCCACTCGCCACTCCACCTCCGGCTCCAGCCAACGACCAGGCCAGGCCAGTGGCCTCCAGAGCGTCCCTGGCCAAGTGGTCAGAGGACAGGCAGGTGCGTGGATAGGGGAGTCCAAGCAGATAAAAGAGCAATCAGAGTCCAGGCCGCTGGCCACTGGCGGAGGGGGGGGGCCTTGCTGGGCATGACCTGAGTGTCCGCAGTACCCTGGACACTGCTCGTCCCAGCCACGCCTGGGCAGCCCCCACCCTCAAGCGAGCCAGCCAGTCCCTGGCGGGCAGGCGGGGCCGGGGGGGTGGGGTGGGTACTGTGGCATGAGGCCCACCTGGGCCGCCGCCCGCCACCCCACACCCGAACGTGGCCATATAAGGCCGGGTTGGTCTCAGTGCGCCCGCTGGGCGGCAGCGGCGCGGGGGAGGGGTGCGAAGCCTCAGAGGACTGGTAGACAGGGCAAGGACGATCCTGAGTGGTCAACACGCCCAAAGGGCTGGCCTGGCCGCAGGTCCCGCCTAGCTGAGGGAGGCCAGCACTGAGCATGGCGGTGGGAGTCTGCGAGCACACATCACCCATCAGCCAAGGACGCCCCTTACTGGGGCTGGTTGCAGGGGCAGGGGTCCCTCGGGAGGCATCTGGGCCTGCCCGCTTGCACAGCAGGTGTGTGAGCCCACGTCCAGGCCCTGGTGTGGTGCACGCCGAGAGACGTAGTGTGTAGCTGGAAGTAGGTGGTCTCAGGGTCTGCCTTAAGACAGGCCCCTACCCTCCACCATGCAGTGACCCCATGCACTGGGCACTCAGTCTCCCAGCCCCCACCCTGTACCTTCCTAGAGATGGGCAGGCCTAGGGCACAGGGCTGGGTCATTAGTCCCAGAGGCCAAGAATGTCCCCACTGTCCCCACACCCAACCCTGGCCACCAGGGGGATCTCTGCAGGTTCCCAGGGGCCTAATTGGGTCCAATGTGGCCAAACAGCCCATCACTCATGAATCCGCCGTGAGCAGCTGTCCGCAACTGCAGGGATGTGTGTGTGGATGTGTGCGTGAGTCCTGAGGGGAACTGGGGCCAGAGCCCACCCTGCCAGCAAGCGTGGGGCCCCACGGACGAGCTGGGGGTGCCCTGAGGGTGAGGGGTAACCCTGTGGGAGAGCTGGAGGGACCTCATGGGTGAGATGGGGATGCCCCATAGGTGAGGGGTGCCCCACAGGTAGCTGGGGAGCCACGTGGGTGAGGGGGGCCCGCGGGTGAGCTGGAGTGTCCCATGGGTGCACTGGAGCTCCCCGCGGGTGAAGGGCGGGCAGAGCGGGGCCAGCAGGGGCGGGGCGCAGGCACGCGCGCCAGGCGGGCACTGTGGCAGGGTTCAGGGCCGGCGGGAAAGGAGCGGCGCTGGCGGAGGCCGGGGCGCCGGGCTGGGCGCCAGCACTCACCTCGGGCGGCGGTGGCCGGCGGGAGGGCCCCCAGCAAAAGCAGCAGCGGCAGCACCAACGCGGGGCTCGGCGTCATCTCGGCCAGTGCGGACCTGGGGCGTATTCAGAGGCCGGTCACTGCGTGGGGGTGGGGGTCGCCCCGCCCCCCGCCTTGGGCCCCGGAGCCGCCCGCACCCCAGCCCTGGGTCGCGGGGACCGGGGGTGCGGGCCGCCCCGCCTTCCCTGCCGCGCTCGGGGCGGAGGAAGCGGCGGCGGGGGAACCGTGGTTATCAAAGGCAGACAAAGGGTTTACACTAATTACCGACCTCCCCCGCCCCCCCTCCAAACACCGTCTGGATTCCTGGCTCTTGTAACTCGGGCCCTGCCCGCGGGACACACAACACCGGCGGCCCCGCAGATAATCGCCTGCGCCATTAGCGGACAAATTTGCGTTGGGGGGGCCCACGTGGGGTACAGGGGCGGGGGCGGGGCACTGGCAGGACCTCGGGCCAGGCGGGAGCGGCGGCGGCGCGTGCCGGTGCCGGCGGCTCCCCACCGCAGAGCGGGAACCCGGACGCTCTCAGCCCGGGCCCCCGCCCCCGGCCCCGGCCCCCGGCCCTCCCGAGTCGGCCCGCCCAGTCTGCCCCGGGGATCGCGGGCGCGCGGAGGGGCTCACCTCGGCGGTGCTCGCGGGCGGCGGGGCTCAGGGCCGGGCCCGCGG